AAGTGCTTATTTAAGTCGGAAAAAAATATAAAAGGATAAGTAGTTTGCATTATACAGGTTTTTTGATGTATTGTATGTCTATATTTAATATTTTCTAACATATTGTTGTGTAAACCTTTATCTAAACATAGATGTATACTACTAATTCAAAGTCGGTATAACCTTCTACCGTAAAGTACGGTTCGAAGATTTTATTCAAGATTATTTTAGAAGTACTAAAACCAGTCTTTTTGGAACATTCGATCTGTTTGACTTCAATGTCAATGAACATATTTTCTAAATAGGTCGGTGTATAGAGTAACCTCTTCGCTGCAAAATAAGATCTAGTGCAGCTATGCGAGAATTCTCACTGGAAAGTTAACGTTTTCCTATAATAGCTAAAGTGTATCAACAAATACACAACAAATGTTCGTTTTTCGTCATTTTGGGGGTCCTTCCTACCGCTCCAGTTAATCCATCTATGAATATGCTCCAAAACGCAAGTTAGTGCCAGATAGTCCAAATGGTGTAGTATACGACTGACTATGTCGATTTGTATAACAAGTGCCTTCGGACATAAAAATTGAATCTTTAAAATGCTCTATTTTCACTTTCTCTGAACTTTGAGACGGCCTGCACCCCTAGTGAACTATCTTTTTCAGATTAAAGCTATAAATTTGAGTAGACACACGTGTTCTGTGCAGTGAAACTCGTGTTTAGTCAAATACTTTTACTTTTCACAGAAGAATTTAGCCCAACCATTATTAATATTTTCCAATTTTGCAGACACGATTTCGCCCATGTGCGAAGGTCGAATCCACATATGTTTGGGGTACAGATAGTATGGGACCTATACTACATATGCTGCAAGTACGAACTCTAGCTCTGCTGCGTAGACTGAAATATGACGCCTGTAAAATGCACTTTTCGACACATGCTGTTTTTAGCGGTTTTTAGGGCTGTTACGAAAAATGCTGTAAGTCCAAAAGGAAACATTATCTAGTCAAAAAATTTTGGGAATCTTCCTAATTGTATTGACGCTACCACTCATAGGAATTTGAACCAAAAGTTTGAACATCAATTTAGCAACACATAAGGAAATCGGTCGTTCTTTCCGTGCAATGGCTCTTATGGCATCAAACCTGGACTTTTATTTGAGAGCAAAATGTGCATTGATCAATCTCCAATGTCGGGCGATTATCCTACCTTTTTCAGAACTTTTCTAGCTTTCATAGTTCTCTAGATCACGAGGTGCACATTTTTGCCAAAAAAACGGATGAAAGAAGCAAATAAACTAGAGAGCAATCGTGTTGCGCTCAAGTTGCGATGTCGACAGACCCTGGTCATATTAATAGAGGCAAAGAGATCATTAAAAAATTGAAATTAAAAATCTCTACTCAGATTTTAAATGTCCTAGTGTTTTATCTATAATGAACGAAGAATTAAATAATTATATTTCGTCTTGAGAATAAATGGCGCCGGATAATCAACTCTTATCAATGTATGAAAAGTTTCGAACTTCAAGAAGGTTAGTTTTACTTTTGTAGCTTATAGCGCCGAATCTCGACTTGTGTTTAAAAAAGGAACGTGCATTGATCAATCTCCAATGTCGAGAGATTGTCCTCTCGTTTTCAGAAGTTTTCTGAGTAGCGTAGTTCACTAGATCACGTCGGGCATATTTTGTAAAAAAAATGACTAAACAAAAAATAAAACTAGTCATATTAACAGAGACAGAGAGAGAGTGAGATCGTTAAAAAATTGAAATTAAAAATCTCTAATCGGCTTTTAAATGTTATACTGTTTTATTTAAAAAAGACAAAGAATTAAATTAGAATGCAGTTGTGCTACGCACAAGTTGCGATGTCGACAGACTCTGTCTTTGACGGAACCTATCGCTCCAAGCAGATCCTACCAGTAGGCTGTAAGTATTGCATTTTTGCTTTGAGTTACTCAATATATTATCATCATCAGATCTTACTCTGGGCTGCCAAGACCGCCGGCGCAGATAAGTCCAACATCGGTTTTAGCAAGAATACAGGAGAAGTAGATGTTTCGTCTTAATAACGCGATACTGGAGTATCTTCTCTAGGCATTGTTTTACTCGGGCGGTCGCCAGCGACCCGAAACCTCCTTTAGTTAAGTTCGCATCGGAGGACCTTGCGAACATAATGTGATTATGTTGATAGATTATTGAGTTTTTCGCTTGTGTATTAAATGGATAAGTGCACTGTGTGGGCTGTTTATTTCCACCGTTTTCTATGTCGTTTTTGTTATTTCATACTCCACTTGTGTAGCAGAGAAGTCGATCTCTATTCCAACGATCAAGGACCTGGACTCATTTTGCTTCCTTGTGTGATTTTTTGTAATTTAAGTACGCTCTTAGAGATGAAAATGAGAGAGAGAAAAACGCTGAGAAAATAAATAAAATAGAAATGCTATCCAAATCCCGTCTGTTCTACTAATGCAATCGCAGTGGTGCAAATCAGTGCGATACGAACCTGAGAGTGTTAAAATTTAACTAGATCAGCACTTACCCAGTGAAGATGGTGTGGATAAGCAAGAAAGGAGCATTTCTTAGTCAGCTAATCATACTTTTCTGATTCAAACGGTAGAGGCAGTAAGGAAAAATACTCTGTTCTGCCTTCTGTTACAATCGGACTTCTTTTTTCTGTATATTCCGCGAGATTTGGAGGTTTTCCTATCTTCGCTTCCGCCGAGACGATTCTGATAAAATTATACCAATCGATAGCATTTTCTACGCTGATCACGAATTTCGCATTCACGTGTGGCTAGAACGTTGCAGTAATGCACTGGAGGAGCGGCACACATTTTGGGGAATAATAAAAAATTTAAATTATAACTAACAAAACATTGTGCGCCTTTTCTCAATCTCAAAAACCAAGATTATAAATAAAATCATATATTTAAGCACTGCAATATATATGTTCAGTAAATCAAATTCAATCAAGTACAGATATATGTATTTAACATTTCGTCTCAAGAACAAATGGCGCCGGACAATCAACTCTTATAAATACACGAAAAGTTTCTGAGTCCAAAAACATTTTAAACCCCCTCATAATAGAAGCCTCCAACGTATTAGAAGCTCTAGAGGAATCGATGTGGAAGGCGTATTAGAAGCCCAAGGGCTTTTATTACGTCGGAAAAAATAATTTGAATTTTTTAAACGACACATTTGATCGACACGCGTTATTTTTACTTTAATTGTTCTTGTGTGATGTCGTGTGTAAAAAAAGGAAACGAATAAAATTTACATTTTTTTATCTCGAAAAAGATTTTTTTCAGATTAATTGAGATTACCGTGATTAGAAAGGCAAGAGTATCGAAATTCAAAATATCCTTTTCTGGAAATTTTTGTACGAAAGTTGTAATAGTAGCCCCCCCCCCA